CTGAAGTGTAAGGCCTGCAAATGCGGTCCGGCCTCTGTTCCCCATGTGTTCAGTGCAAGAACATTGCCACCTGCAGATGGGAGAGAGAAGGAATCATTAGTTTCAACCTCACACCAGGTATTGTTTTAAAAATAGCAATTATGTTATGAATTCAATTCGCAACAACAGCAGTTTTAATGAATACAACGTGCAAAACTGTGGTCAAGTGTAATTGTGCATTTGAGAACCTTAATCCCATGTGATTAGCTGTAAGGTAGGATGGCATTCACAGCAAGTAAAAATGGCTTAATCCAACAACAGTTGCCCCTATCTGGCCATCTCTCTGTCTGTGCCCTGTTATGACTGATGCGATGAGTCTGGCACGGCAGGCCATTCCTCTCTGGAGGCTGTAAACTGAAGATTTTTCAGCACATTGTGCAGCCTCAGGTAGCACCACTGCCACCTTAACAGATCAGCAGTCCATCATTTGCAGCAGCTTAAGACCTTTTTGTTTTCTGCTTCTCCTTTTCCTAAGTTTCAAAAGCAAAATTGACAGCGCTATGAATCAGCTTCTCACTACACAACTTCCCAGGAAACACCACAAATTGCTCACACCTTGCAGGCAGGGCCCACGCCAGCAGTGTTCAAATGGCTCACTGCATTTGCAGAAGCAGAAAGATTTACAGCAACGTTGCTGCAGAAGCCAAACTGCAGCACCCTCAGACCAACAACGGTGCTAGAAAATAAGACCTGAGAGAGGCATCCGTAAACCGCTCCTGAGGAGAGTGCAGGAAAATAAGGACAGAAATCAAGTCCCACCCCTGCCACCCATCTCTAACACAGCTCCATTACATCACTGCCATGGTCTTGGTCCCTCCTGCTCCTGCTGGGAACAGGAGTCCCAAAGCTGAATAAATTTTCCCTGAAAGCCCACAGGGCTGTCCCATACGAAAAATTTTGAAGCCAAAGGCCAGGTACAGTGATCCTACCAGAAGCTACAAATACACCTCTGCACTCACATCCTTCTTTTTGCTGTGCAAAACCACCTTTTTTTTTTTTTTTGCAACAAGGTCCCCCAACAGGCTTTCTCTAACATTGACAGAGCCCTCTCAAACTGAACGCAGCCACGACCAATGGTTCCCATGAAGCCATCGTTCCACTGCGCTGCCCACCAGCCACACCATTCCAACCAACCCAGGCTGGATACTTCAGAGGTGTTTGGACAGAGAGACCTGAAATGCCCGCAGCAGCAGACTGCGCTGCCTCAGGCATGCCCAAAGAACTGATTTCTGTGAGAAGTTCCTCCCTGTACTCCTGGTATAACCAACCCTTCCAGCCACACCAGTGGACTTCTGCTTTGCAAATTCATCCTGCTCAGCATCTCCCTCCAGTAAGGAGCCTCTACTAGGAAACTTTATAAGCACAGGTGTTTGTTTATATTTGTTCCATATTTAAGTGAGGCTGGCCAAGGGCAGCACACGTGCCTTAATTCAGGGAGACTGATGACATAGCTCTGTAAGCCGATGATGGTAGAATATATCTGCTGTGAATCCCCAAACTTGGCCCTTCCAAGCTGAGGCCACCAGCTCTCCCATAACACCACTGGCAGAACCTTCCTCTCAAACACCCAGAGTTGCATAGTACTAACCTAGTTCCATCTGACAAACCAGTTACTAATGAACAATAACCCAACTAGCTTCCCACAGAGGAGTAAATTCTAAGAGAAACAATGTCTAAAGAGCACATGGCATTTTTTTTAAGCCTATAACTACCCACCAAAATGCATATTGATCTGCTCAGGGAAACAAAGGTTATCCAGCTCTCTCATATAGAAGCACTTTTACAAACACAAATAGCAAAGCCTCAGGACCAGAATAACCCACCAGGCATCCTGGCCAGATAAAACAGCTCCTCTCTTCTAATTCAACTGTGCTCAGTGAAACAGGCCAAAGTCACTTCTATACAGCTGTTTACAAAGCAGGACAGTGATAGGACAAGGGGGAATGGTTTTAAACCGAGACAGGGAGGTTTAGGTAAGATATTAGGAAGAAGTTTTCCACACAGAGGGTGGTGAGGCACTGGAACAGGTTGCCCAAGGAGGCTGTGGATGCCCCATCCCTGGAGGCATTCAAGGCCAGGCTGGATGTGGCTCTGGGCAGCCTGGTCTGCTGGCTGGTGAGCCTGCACATAGCAGGGGGTTGAAACTAGATGATCATTGAGGTCCTTTTCAACCCAGGCCATTCTATGATTCTGTGATTCTCAGCAGAACTGTCACCTGCGGGTTTCCAGTTCATTCAGTGGAGGAACCACTGGAGCAGGCTGCCACTCACCTGTGTCAAGAACTCCCATGGCAGCACCGATGAGCGACATCAAGGCAGTCAGCAGCAGGGACCTCTTACACCATGGTATGGCAAAAAGACCACCTGTGGTTCCAAGCATGGATAAGGCTGAAAAAACAAACAAATAAAACACAAATACTGCAGTTACCACTTCAATTGCAAACATATAGCAAACTAAGAAATAAAAATACATTTATCATTACTCAAGTTACAGATAACCCTAATACATGCTGTAACCTCATTACCTAAATATGTGAATAGCAGAGGCAGCCAGAAAATTCAACAGGATGATTTTGGAAGAAATGATTTTAGTGAGAATGAGATGTTTCATTTTTCATTTTGCTAAGGCTTAATTTGCAAATAGGGCACCATCTGCTGCTAAGTACTTAGTATGCCAATTATCCCCAAGAAGCATTTTTTCTGCAAACTTTCGAGTTAAAAGCATTATTTTAACACAAAAGAAATAGAAAATGGTTTGAGCAAAGTGACATTTTTATTGAGAACTACAGATCATTATATTTGGCCCCACTTCAAAACCACTACACTCCTAAAATCCTGTGAAGTGAGGCTCCCTACTGGCTAAGAGGCACTCTGTATAAAAATGCTGACTCTCATTTTTATTTTTTTCTCAGATCAGCAGTGTCTTCCAAGTGATTTCTACAGTCTTCAGATGCAGAACTACAAGGTTTCTCGCCATAAATTTAGCAACAATTTCCAAAAGAAAAGAAAAAAAAAAACGAAGAGCCCAAGAACTTCACTGAGATACCTGATATTCCTGCCCTGGTGTAACCTGCAAGGGAAGCACAGTGAGCTGCACAGGAAAAAGGCTACAGAGGGGAGGTGCTAAATACAGCTTCCCCAAGGCGTCTGTCAGAGCACAAAGTGGCTCCTCAGCCAGTTTTCAGCTGTCCGCTCCTAATTTTCACCTGAAGACCAGCGCTCAAAAGCTTCCTTGACTGAAGCATTAAAGATCTGCACAGCAGCAGAGTTTCAACAGCTGGAAGGTGGGAGCCTTTACCCTCAGTCAGCCCTCAGATTGACAGAAACATGAGGCAGTTCAGTAGTTTGGATTGTGTTTCTGCCCTAAGTGCCATCAAATTGGAAAGAATTTGGAGACAAAATGTATTTTTCAAGCATTACTGACAGAGAGCTATCCTGTGACATATCAGAAAGACAAGCAAATCCTAAACTGCTTCAAGTTCACACTGACTTTCAGGGGTGTATTACTTTCATCATAGGAGGTAAAGTCTCAGATGTCAGATATAATCCACTCTGCCCTTGCCAGATACACATGGATCAGCAAGCTGAAGGGAAGGCACTTTACATGTGACCTGGAGCAGAGAATAAAGAACAGGGAAGAGGATAATAAAGCTGCAAGATATGTATAACAAGAGCAAATTAAAGGAGCTGGTCTGGAGAGGGGAAGGCAGGGAGAGGAGAAAAACAGACATTGTATTACGTGACTGCACATGGCAGCAGGAGATAGGCCAGTGGGATAAGGAGAGAGTGGTTCAAACACAAGCAATGGAAAACTATTCTCAAAATGAGCCCTGTGAGTAAAGTTCTGTGCTCGGAGTTGTATGAATCCACTCAGATAAAGGAAGGAAGGGATGAAGAGATGGAGGAGCAGGAGGGGAAGGGTTAGGAAAGGGATGAGCACCGCTGCTGGCAGCTGTACGGCCCTGCTGTGCCAGCACAGGTCTGAGCGCAGGAGGAAATCCACATGTGTACAGGAAACCACCAGGACCATAACCACTGCTCCTACAGAGCCCAAACACCGCCACAGGTAGGCAGCAACCAGCAGCATATTTCCAAACTCACAGACAGGACACAAAGTTTTCCACTTTAACTAAATTGTAATTGGATTAAGGCTGCCCAGCCACAGCCTCAGTGCCTCTGTGCAGCAAGGACAAACAGTTCAGCTGAGCTTTAACGAAGGCAATAGTCTGACACTGCTTCTCCCACACAGCCATGCAAGTAAAAAGCCAAGCCAGTCCCACCTGCCTCATCTGCATACTTTCTAAAGCCCCACAACACAGGGCCGCGCGCTGCAAGAGTGCGACCTGTGGGATTACAGAGAAGAGCAGCCCAAGGGGCACGGGCCGCACTTCCACCTCCCGTTCTCCAGCCGCAAGGCACAGCGGAGCCGAGCGGAGCCCCGGTGGCGCTCGCTGCCCGCGGCCGCCCCCCGAGCCGCGCTCACCGAGCAGGAGGTGCGCGTTGACGTGGTCGAAGAGGATCCCGCCGAGCACGGAGCCGCCCAGGTAGCCCAGCGAGCGGCCCACGAAGATGTAGTAGATGTCGGTGACGTTCTTGTGCACGTTGTCGGCCAGGTTCTGGAAGGTCGGTCCCAGCACGGCGATGCTCGTGCCCTGCAAAACAATGCCGAGGGCTGCATCGCCGGGCCGGGCCCCTCTAACCCGCCCAGCCGGCGTCACTCACCAGCCCCAGGAAGGCCGCGCACAGCGCCGCGGAGATGCACCACCGCAGCGCCGCTCCCTCCCCGCACCGCCGCCCGCCGACCACGGCCACCTCCTCGTGCGGCGCGGCGGAGAGGCGCGGTCCAGGTCCCGGGCCGGGCCCCGCCGCCGCCTGCCCCGGGCCGGCGAAGCGGACGTGCTTCTTGCGCTCGGCGCCGGCCATGGCTTCTAGCGGCGCGGCCGGCACGCACCGCCGCTCGGGCCCTTGGGGAACCCGGAACCGCAAGCCCCGCCCCGGCAGCTCGAGGCGCGGCGGAAGCCTACAGCTCCCGGCGGGCTCTGCGGCGCGCGGCCCCAGCCGGGCCCGTTCCCATGGAGACAGCGCTCCGCTAGGCGTACAAAATGGCGCCCGAGGCGCGAGGCGACTTCGCCTAGAGAGGGCGGGCCAGGCTCCGGTACGGGCGGGGTGCGCTGAGACACGGCAGCGGGCGGGCGGGCCTGGGGTCTGCGGAGAGAAAAGGCTGAGGAGGGGCCTGATGGCGACTGCAGCTCCTCGCAGGGAGCGGAGGGCAGCGCCGAGCTCTGCTCTGTGTGACAGCGACGCGGCCCGAGGGAACGGCGTGGAGCTGCGTCAGGGGAGGGGCAGTGGGGTTACGGACAGGGTCTGCAGCACGGGGCGTGGAGCGGGATGCACGGGGCAGCGAGCCCTGAGTGCCCGAGTTCAAGGAGAGCTGGAATGCTGCGTGGCAGCTACAAACAGTGGCTATAAATTCTCTCTCTGCTTATCTCTGCTGCCTAAGAAAAATGCAGTCTGTCTTTTCCAAGAACACTTAGCTGCGCTATCTCTGTGCCTGTAACGTATTTGCAACCTCTGTGACCATCTGCAGCCTCTGGCAATTTTTTTAAAGGCTGTTATTACTGCACTTGCACAACCCAATTATGCAGTACTGCTCTAATTATATTCAGGAGTCAAACAGGAGAGTCCTTATGAAAGCACGAGTTCCCTTTTCTTATCGAGCACCATTTACGATCTTCCAGGGAAAGCTGTACTTCTTGTTACTGACTGATCCAATTTATGGTCCTTTATCTCCAAGTCAGTGTCAGTGACACCCAAAGGTTTCTTCGGTGCTTATCAGAAGGCTGCAAAAGCTCTTCCTCCAGAAGGTCAGCCTGTGTGCCTGGCATTAATCATACACACATCCCTCTCTGTTGCTGGTGCTCCGATGAGCTGCAGTCTCTAAGAGCTCCTTGCTGACGTACAAGCAAAGTAAAGAAGAAATGGTGCAAAACTTAAGTATTTCCTCTGATCTTACTCAGGAGCTGGAAAGCAACAGAAGTGTAGTAATTAAACTTCTAAATAAGTTTAAAAAAAAAAAAAAAAAGCAGCTTGTAATTCATTAGTAACTTTTCTTATAAAAGTTTGGTGTTGTTTTTTTTTAGTGCTCAGTCTGCCTCTCCTGGATAAACAAAAGCAAGATCTTGGATCATTTGAAGACATAAAGCTTTGCCTTACTGATCAAAGGTCACTGGCATTATTGCTGTTTGTAAAGCACGGGAGAGCTGCGACTCGTGCTTGCATACTCTCAGCATGTAACTCCATACAAACCTGACAGAGTGCAGCTACACCACGCTTTTACAGCTCTCTTTATACCCAAGGAGCATAATGAGCAGTGAATGCAGCAGAGGGCTGCTTTTGGTGTTTTTGAAGAACTTTTTGGTTTTTGTTTTTTGGTTTTTTTTTTAACAGACTTTCTCTAGAATGAATTTGATCTGCTCTCACTGTGCTGTTTTTATGCACTGGGTCAGGCAAAACAGTTGCATATTTATTTATTTTTAAACTATGCTGTAACTGATAACAAGCTCTGAAGACAACTTAGGACAAGAGATCTCTTTGTCTGCTGTGGTGAATGTGCCCTGTCTTGCCTGGATTGCACCAAGGTGCACACACATGCACGTAGGGTCTCTCTTCGTGGCTTACATTAAGATGTCTGTGTAAATCTGCTCTTCTTGTTCCGAGCAGCTCATGGGTTTTTTGAAGCACTTTGTAGGTAGGTGGTATTTGGAACGTACAGGAGAACACTGGAAAATGTGCAAAAGTATTTGTAATGTATTCCATAAGGAGACTTCTGCAGAGAAGTGTGGTGGTGTGTTTTGTACTTACAAAGAGGTTCTGTGCACAGCGACACTTGGGCTCCTAGGGAAAGGTTTCAAGCATCTTTTTTTTTCAGATTTTCATCTGACATACAAGTAGCCTGGAGAATAAGCCCAGAATGAATAGGAATGTTTTCCCAATAGCATCAGCTTTGTTACTGAAAGAAAAGGAAATATTTGGCGCTGCTACAAAAGGAAGGCGAGTGAACTCCTGTGATGTACTGGAGCTGTCAATGAGGAAACACCTCGTGCTGCCAAGGTGAGTTGAGGTGAAAGTGGTGGCAGGCCAGGACGTGATCAAAGGCCCTCTGAATTGCACTGGCAGTTCTTGGAGCTAAACGTACCCATTTATTTATTTATTTAAACGTCACCAGTTTGTTCTACCCCTTTCCCTCCCTTCTTCAATTTTGCTTCTTCCTGTTGTGAATGTGACAGTTTAGCAAAGCTTGACATTAAAACCCCGGCATGTAAAATGCAGCAGACAGAATTTTATGAAGCATGCCCAGCTGGAAGGTGGTAGTTCAGGTTTATAAGGCCCTGGTTTCAAATTGGAGTGTCGGTGCCATTAGAAAAAAGTGCACTGCACTGAATACTGATATAGGAGCGGTCAGATCGCACTGGTAAGGAAAGCTGCAGGCATGGACTTTAATACAAAAGGCTGCAGCTGAGATTCAGTATCAAAATGTAACACAATTCCTTTAAAACACAGAATTCCTTTTAAAAAATTAAAGGTTGTGCGGGGAAAACGGGATTGAAAAATGATACACACAGTAACAAATGGGGCACTTAAGAACTACCATCTTTATTCAGGGCAATTTGAGGTTGGTCACAATTGTTATAGCACCATGAAAGACATCAGACAGTGGTTTTTTTTCGCTTTCAACCTTTCTAACAATGCAAAATCTTAAAGAATGGAGTTAAGGCTGGCAAATTGTGCATCTTTTCACACCCAAAACAACAAACAAAAGAGGAGGTCTATAAAGACAGCGAAACACAACAGTGTTACCAGTATTAGCACACATTTCAGTATAAAATCACTCAACACACAGTTCTGAAACATTTAAAATGTTGACACAATATATAGAAAAGGCTAAAAGGCATACTGAAAATATGCCAGCGTTAAAATACGCTCACTGTCTGGAACTGTAGTGGCGCTATGCTTGTCAACAGAGATGTGTAAGTGGAATTATTTTCTCAGTCACGTCCAAGTGCTGCAGCTCCTGTGCTTAAATGCAGACTGTGTACACCCCAGCCAAACTACACGGCGTTACCTACGTGCACACATACACACACACTCTCCTTAGCAGAGGCTTGGTTCCAACGGATGCCCTGAGTGCCTGATGTCAGCTCCCACGGTGGGATCCAGATCCCAAAGGGCTCCACGAGCTGAGCAGGGCTGCCAGCACGGTGCTTAAACTCACCCATCAGGATGATTCCAGGATAGTAGCTGTGATTTCTGTCCTGAGGTGCTCCACTCAGGGCCACAAGGATGCATCTCCTGTTCCTCTGACATGTGCTCCCTGCTGCGAGCAACTGAGCAGGGCGTTTTTGCTTTGAAACCGTGGTGTCCATGTTTTATACATTAAGAATGTGATCAAAGCCTTCATCTACGGGTGGGCAGCTCAGTATTCTGCTGGGCTGCCTCAGCCTCCTCTGCCACTCCATGAAATGCCTTCTCCATCAGGCAATGGCTGCTCAAAGGTTTAATGCAGGGACAAGGTATGAGAAGCGCCATCCATATACAACAGGATGTGCATTGGCTTTGAAAATCCAGTGTCTTCAGTGAGAATTCAGGAATGTACACATCCAAACATGATGCATCAGGAGCCAAGAGAAAAGCATCAAATGCTTACCTCACCTGATCTCAAACAGACCCTCACATATGACCACAGAACAGAACTTGTGGCAATGCCACCTTTGACTCTACAATGGAGGGGGATCCATGAAGAGTCACTGGAAATAAGTAGAATTTTTGAATGGTAAAAAAGGCATTTGAGATCCCTGATACTTCAACAGTCCGCAAATACATAATCAGAATAAATCCAACAATAATTTTTATAAATTTTGCTTTGTATACTGTTGAATAGCATAGATGAAAATAAGAATATGAAGCCTTGGCACTATTTCAGACTCCTTGCCAAGCAGATTTAAGAAGATTTCCAAGGACCTCAAAACCTACTGAGAGGGCATCACAACTGTCAGCCATATGAACCATCAAACCAAACCCTTGCTCAAAATCAGTTTTGCTTTTGAGATCCAGTGTATGCAGTCACAGCACAGAGTAGGACTGCAGCTTGAATCATAATTGAAGCTGTTTCTGCCCAGTATCTTCTAGAAGCTTGCCCTGAAAGTACCCAATAGAAAAAAGGAAGAGGTTATTCTGTTTATACGTGAGACAGCAATGTATATGAAAGCACAAACTTTTTAAGAGAGAGATACATCTGCATCTCAGAATGATTTAAGGGTTTCTGTTGAACTGAAGCAGTATTTTCATTACAGAATCCATCCCCAACAGGAGTAGATCTGACACACATTACATCATCAAAATGAGAGTTCAATAGATTCCCTATGACCAGGCTTCCACTCCTAAAATTAAATGCAATTACAAAAAAGTTACATTTATTCAGATGAAATAAAATCAAATATTTGGTGCTTTTTCCTCCCAGTTTTCAAAATAACAAACATTTCTACACCGTGCTGTCATTTTTTCTAAAGCGTACCAACCAGCTGCTGTTTGTGATGGACATTTCTCTCTTATTCTTTTGAAAGGGGAGATGGATTGGCAGTCTCACTTTCACAGCCTCAAGGCACTCAGTATGTTTTTATGCAAGTTTCTCAATGCTTAATTAGTCTCACTGCCAACAATCTGAATTTTACTTCCTATTTGACTACTTCTTATCTAATTTTAGGATGCAATCCTCTCACGCTTCTGTCTAATGCAGACTTTTTTCTATTGGACATTCATTTCCCCAGTAGACGTGAGCTGGCAGTAAAGATGCTATCAGAATTCTCATGCATTCATTTTTTTAAAAGCCTTTTTTGAAATCTCATCTTTTTGAAGTCTTTTCAGTTGCAGCACCGTTGTGAAACAAGCACTGGCATCAGCAATAGGTTCAGTATTCCAACAGCACTGCACCAACTTAACTTCATGAGCACTAGCTCTGCATCTGCCACCTGACATCCTGATTTCAGCATCTGTTTCTAATGCTGCTCTGGTCATTGCTATGTGATCATTCCCTCTGAATTCCCTTCCCAAGGCCACTGTCTTGGATTTTTGTTTTGTTTTGTTTTTAAATGCAGTTGATTTGGAGAAGATAATTCACGTATTTAGTTACTCAAATATGAACATTTGAATTTTTATGTATGGATACGTTTCTAAAGGGTCTAACAATAATTAATCCATATTAGTGTTACATTCCTTCGGTATCATTTAAAAATCTTAACAACATTTGCTTTATATCCTCTCCTGGCTACAATTACATCAAGATGTCTCATCATGACAGTTTCAAGTCACATTAATGCTAAAAAGCAGCCTTAGTGTTGTTAAAAACTCCCAAGGCTACAACACATGAAGTGTAAGACTCACAGTGAATATTCATTTGTCGTAAAGCAAAAGGAAACGAGAGGTTTTTAATCATACTCAATCAGCAGAATCCAGTGCACGGCCCACACACGCGGTAATACTGATCTGCAGAGATAGGCCAGACTGGAACAGCATGAGCTGCTGTTATCGCTTCTGTACTAAAGGCAGCATTTGGTACTTGCTTTAATTAGCAATGCTATTAAGGTTTCAATGAAATTCTCAGGAGCACTTGGGACATGGAGAAGCACGAGTCCCAGCGAACCCAAAGGGACAGCTGCTGTAAGGATTGTTTTCCACCTCTAAGTCCCGCTGATCTACTCCATTAACTTTGTAAAATCCAATTCCTTCCAACATTCCATGAGACAAGAACTGAAATTCTACAATACAAACTATCAGTGCTGGTCTTCGATAGTTGGGATGCTCTGTGTGATTCCATTGAAGACTTCTTTAAGCTGACAGATGTAAACGTTTCAAGTAATAGCACTGCTAATAGAGTGTTTCAGATCACAAGCACTCGTGGGCTTTCTTGGCAGTTTACTACAATGCTGAAAAACGGAGAAACAACAGAAGTAGAGGAGACATCAAGTGATATAATTTTAAAACAGTATCCCTCTGTGGTTCACATAAAGAGCAGGCACTGCCACTTATTAAAAGTGCATTTCAGGGTGCGCTTTGTCTTTAGATCGCATTCAGTTTACTCTCTGCTATGCCACTCCTGAAGACTACAGAAATGCTCAATGCACACGACGTAAAGAATATTCAGGCATTCCCACTGCACTGTTCATCCACACCCACTGATAAGCAACACGCTTGGAAGTGTTTTTAAGATAAACTGTCTTGTTTTCATCTGAAAGTATCATGTTTTCAAATATTTTTCAGAGGAGATATCCAGAAATACACGCCTGACAAACAGTACATAATACCTAAGAAGACATAAGCAATCGGGACATACTATAGTATGATAAGCAACCAATAGGACGTGCAAAGACATTTCTTTATGTCTGAATACAGAGCTGCGAAGACCTAAAATAAAGCTGCATGTTCACTTAGTGCAAATATCTTGTTGAGCGTTGTTTTAATAGCTCCCCTTTATTTCCACGCGTCAAGAACGATTTCATATTATTGCACTTAGGATGTATTTTTAAAGCTGTCTCAGTTTTAAGGGGAAAAAAACAAAAACCTGAAGGGAACAACAGGATAATTTGAAATTTAGGCTAATTCACAATCCTGCTCTGAAGTATTGCTGTCAGTACAATTTCAAAACCACCATCAGGAATCTTGACGCTTAGGTGAAAACATAATATACACATCAATAGCATTGTGTTACCAAAAAGTATCAAGAATCTGTAATTCAGCAGCTGTACTTCCAAATGCGTTTGCATTCTAAGCTCAGTTTGTGCATATCCAAAACCTGGTTCCATCCAAAATGTCATCTCTTTGTTCAGGCTACTGTGAAAAGGTGAAATCAATGCAAAAAGTGAATGATTAAACTGAGCCATCTGGGGGTTTTAGAGAAAACAAAACAGATGTTTAATAATTTAACTTTGTAATGCTAAATGATTTCAGCGAGAGCGAAGGGGATCTAAAATATGCATATTCACATTCATAGAATCATAGAATCACCAAGTTTGGAAAAGACCTCAAGATCATCCTGTCCAACCATCCACCTACCACCAGTATTTCCCCACTAAATAGAATCATGATACAGAATTCTGAAAGACTGTAAAACAGCACAAGAAACTTCAAAAATGAAATCAGTTTTAAGAGCTACTAAATGTTCCAGTATAAAACACCCCTGGGTGTGCCTGCATTGAGTGGAGCACACAAGTTATTGAAGAGTCCTGGGTCAGTGAACCAAACACAGCTTCCATACTTCCAAGAAATACATTCTGATGAATTAGAAAAATATTCTCTTCACACACAGAATCACTACGCATGTACACACTAATGCTGCAAAACTTCAAATACTCTGAAAATGTGGCTTGAAATCAAACTCAATGACTCCTCAAAAGAAGTTCCGGTATAAAAGAGTAGTTTTGCAATTTCAGCAGTTCAGAACATCTTTAGTATCATGTAGTATCTTCAGCCAAAAAGCAGAAATGTAGCTTTGGTAGAAGAAAGTCCATCTTGTATAGGAAAAGAAAGCATCAAACACCTGATTCCATTTCTTTGACTGGCTTTTCCGTAGCATCTGACACCAAAGTGCTTTCATTTTCCAGCATTTTCTCAGTAGTTTCTCCATCAACGGGTTTTGCCCTTTCTTTCAACTTATGTCGTTCATGGACCCAGGGGATGATGCACAATATCGCTCCGCCGATAAGCGGGGGGACTCCCGCCAGGTAGAATGCCACATCGTAGGTACCGAGGCGATCACGAAGCAAACCTGGAAAGACAAAGTAAAATCACTACAGCGACGCTTTTGGAATACACAAAGGTCACGTATGTCTGAAGCAAACTTTTCAGAAGTCCAGTAAATCAATAGGCCAGAAGCATCAGTTAAACTCGTCATATATTCTGGAGCTCAGATAGAAAAAATCCAATGTAAATGCAATGCATATGATATAGGAACATAGACAATTTGGCAACTACAGAAGCCTATTTACAGGTACAGACTATGTTTATTCTCACCTGCAATGGGTGGACCAACTGTCATAGGTATTGACATGAGTCCAAGGAGAAATCCTATGGCCTGGGAGACATCCTGAGCCCCAACAAGCTCAAAGGCAATAGGAGCCATAATGCAAATGAAACACCCATCAAACAGGCCCATGAAGAGACAGACAGCAATGAGACCTCCGAAGACGTGGCACACCGGAATCATCATCGACATCAAGCCAATAAAGAAGAATGATGCCACCTAAACATGACCAAAGAAGAATATAAAGACATATTGCATCAACTCAGCCAAAATAACTGGAAGAGATGAGCTTTCTTGCATACGTGGACAATTCATATTTACTTTAAAATAAATAAGCACACATTACCACTATTAGAAATTCAAAAGCAAATAAAGCAAACACTTGGAACTGCCATAATATGCAATTAAAGAGATTCCACAGCTCGTTTCTCAATTTTCCCAGAGCACACTTGCACCCACAGGTACTGTGCAAGGGCATCATTTCCTGTGCGCCAACATGTCGTGCAAAATTGCTCTATGCTCTTTTCACAAAGAAAACCCACAAAGATATTAAAAAAAAAAATCACACAACTAAAATGCACTGTAATTGGACTCCTCACTGTTGTAATTGAAGTAACAATATCAGTGCTTATATTCAGAGATGGTACCTGAAAGTTTCATTTCAATCTTTCCATAAAAAGGCATCTTGCTGTATTTCTATCGCCGTGTTTATCTTTGCATATTTTTAATCTTCTAAGATCCTAAGCAGTGAATTTCATTATTGCTATTTGCAGTAAATTAAAGGAACAAATCCATCTTTCAACAAAACGAAGCAGAAGTCATTTCAAAGAAAATCAAAGAAAGTTTTGCTGATGCACCATTCTTATGTCAGCATTGAAACCCAATGCCCCACCTTTCCAAACAAGGCACACACGCCTTGCTCACCCATAGAACAAGACAAGACAAAGTCCCTCCCAGATATCACAACTTTTTGAACAGTAAGTGACATCACATAAATGAGTTCATTATGAAAAATCTTCGAGAAGACAACTAGATGAGAATTTTCAGGACAGTATAGAAATTACCTTTGGGCACTGTCATTTATTTAGCATACTAAGGAAAACATTTGAAATATTGCACAGATAGAGGAACTACTGGAGAACTGAGCTTCTTATAAAAATTTAAGGGTAGAAGTGAAGAAGTTCTCAGTTCTCTGTATTCTGATACATAAAATACAAATACTAAGATGTATTTATAACCAAGAAATTATATAGTTATATGTAGGCAAACTCTAAACAAGATGCTGTTGACCAGGTTAGTCACATTATCATATTAAGATTACACACAGCACTAAAGCCAGAATCTCTATGCTTTACCTGGAAGAGGCAGAATGTATAACTTTAGTAGTGAAGATATCACTTACAAAGCAAAATCCAGCAAAAGAGCTCTTTGAGGAGCACAGAAAGAGAAAGCTGAAGGTTGATTTTACTGGACAGAGCTCTTGTAAGTTGTTCAACTTAAGGGAGAACAGTTCCAAGAGGAAAGAACTTTCATCTGCATTGGTTCTTAAATAGTGTTGCACAAGATAAGATGATTGTATGAACTGTTGGGTGACCCGGATTGACCACTTGTGAATATTCACTTCCCCTCCAGAAAACACTCATTTGAAACAGGAGAGCTGAAGATGAAGAGACAGAGCTTTGCAAGTTTTTACTCCCTTAAAATTTGGTGAAAGCAATGTTACTTAAAAGCAACAGAATTCACATGTTAAGCAGATCCCTGGTCTTTCAGTTCCATCCAGCAAAAAGAATAAAAAAGCTTGCAGAGTTTTACTGCAAGTTTGACATCTATTTCACAAAAATAATGGAAAGTATCAGTGCACTGTAAATCATGTAACACCTCAATGCTATCTTTTCACTTTTCAATTTAATATTGAAATTTCCTAAGACTGTAACAATAGGTACTGAATCAATCCAAATCAGTGAGATTAGGCTCCAGGCTCTTTCATCAGGGAGTCTAAATGCACGCAACTATGGCAACAGACACTTCAGAAAGTTGGTTCTTTCTCAGTTATTTTTGCTCTGAGTAATGTAGTACAGAGAATAGCCATCAGATGTCTCCCTTGTTACTTCTCATTTTTTAAAAAAACAACAAAACAAGAACACTCAGGAGTTGGTAACATGCAAGTTACAGCTTTCACACACACAAAAAAAGGAACCCACAAACTGCCACCTTCTCAAAAAACAGTGCTCATAAGCGTGGATGGAATGGGTATCCATCTTCCTTCCATCTTCGTTCTCAAGCTTCTGCATTTCTGGAAACTGAAGGAGTGGTGCTTTACCTCCTCCATGTGACTGTGAGTAACCTACTTCACACAGCAAAAGCTTCTCAGCTAAGCACCTGTAATAGTCTCTTTGGCCTTATCAGCATGTGCTATGCACTGAACAAATGTTACACCAAGATGGCACCTAAGAAATATCAGGAAAGGAGAACGGGAAAATCCTTAATGGAGGAACTTGAAGAAATCAGTAACTATCAAGAAGTTACGGATAAAACTGGGAAAGAAGAACCTACAGAATCACCAAAGGTTTCCTCACTCAGTAACCACAGTTTCTCAGTATAAGAATCAAAAAAAGACCAGGAGAAAGATTCACAAATTTTGCATCAGGGGCCCATGAGTATCAGCAGCCAGACTGCTTCCTAGAGTGCTGAAATCTCTCAGGCTTAAAATTTTCAGCCACTTTATTGTTTACTTACCTACCTGCAATCAAAGCCTTCAGAATGCTTTTTGTGTACATATATTCCTTCAAAACCACGTGAAGACGTACCTGTAAGTAAACTTTTTTTGCACCAGGAATATAATCTGCAACTCTGCCAAAGATCAATCGGCCAATTCCTGAAGTAACGCCCAGACACAGCAGAAGCACTTCTTCTTGCACACTGTCACCAAATCTGTCTTCCACATGTTTCATCTGTTCGAAAAGAGGGTTCAGAAAGTTAACTTGTTTTAAAATGAAAAGGAAGAGAAAACCATTAAGTTTTTGAGTTAAAGGTGTGAATCTGTGACTTCAAATACGGCCACAACCAACTTGCATATTCTGCTTGGGCAGGAAGGTTTTTTGCACTGGGTTACCAATATCAAGCACAACACAATGAGAAGAACCTGAGAATGTGTTTTCACTTTATTCACATGTAAGGACCTTCATTCAAGAAAGCAACAAGGCTAATACCACAAGTTAAAATCTCAGAAACACTCCCCCAGCCACATTTTGTGCACTAGCAAAGGAAGAAGCATAATACTGAATCCATGAACAATCTTCATTGGTTAGGGCATACTGAGGTCCTAAAGCACTGAATCAATAACGAGTATCAGCACTGTCCTAATCTCTGCATTAAGACAGACACGGATCCTACCAAATTTACAACAGAGTTCTAGGGAGGAGCAAGAAGTAAAAGGGCAGAGTGCAGAGGCAGACAGTGCAGACAGGAGGGGCCCTTGTCCCAGCATCCAGAGACCAGGAGAAAGAGGAGCAGGAACCCTCTGCAATGCCAAAAGCAGGCAGGGCCTTCCAGGAGTGTGAACGATAACAGCAACAGAGAGTACGGCAGGCAGACAGACTGGAGAAATAGTTTCACAAGCCACTCTGACCTAAAGCACTACAGCAACTGACCTCCAGTTCTGCCAGTAGAACATCAAATGCAGATGTGATGAATTAACAGTATCAGTAATTCCAACCTTCTGAGTCATGTAAAAGGAAAAAAAAAAAATCACAAGACTGACCAGATGGATGGATTTGGGTTTCCTTTACACTGTTTTTAGAATCGCAAGGAATACCTTTTATGAGTTTTATAGCACAAGAATTCCATGTCATTGTTTGTTGTTGTTATTTTGGGGTGGGTTTCATGATTTGTTTCTTGGGGGAGGGTGTTAAATCAGCCACAAAAACCAGAAATTACCCAGAACACAGACTTTTGCATTAACCACTTTTTGAAATGCTGCTGGCAACACCAAGTATGTCAAAGTATGCATGAAGAGATGCAGAAATTATTTGTGTAATCCTGTGACCTCTATGCTCATAACTACTGCTGAAAAAGAATCTGCGAAGACTCAGAGGTGTGAAGAAGCAGACTGAAGAAACTGATTTTTAAGAAATGATGCACTCACCTTGCCTCAGGTTTTTTTCTACAGACTGACAGACCTTGCTAGTAAAAAGTCAGAGCAGTTTTTGTTATTAATAATTGTGATTCTGTGACCTATTCCCACACAGGGAGGTGGTGGAGTCACCGTCCCTGGAGGTGTTCAAAAAATGTGTGGATGTTGAATGGGGACATGGTTTAGTGGGGAAATGGTGGTGGTAGGTGGATGGTTGGACTGGATGGTCTTGGAGGTCTTTTCCAACCTCGGTGATTCTATGATTCTACAATTTTGAACTACAGAATCCTTATTCCCTGATATAAATTACTTAAGAGACTCTTGTTAATAAACAAGCTGAGCTTTTTTTCCCCCCAGCATAAGCATGGTTTGCTAAGCTATGGCTGATTTTCTTAAATATAAAACCAGATGCCTTTTGTTTACATGTCACAGAAAACTATTAAATCTAATATCAATTTGTCTAATACGTAATTGATTTTGTCAGAAAACAAGAAAAAAAAGAGGTGTGTTTGTTTTGTTTTTAAGCATAAAATCTAGCTTCAGAGGAAATACACTTGCTATTCCTATTTTTGACAACTTTTTTCTTGTTCTTGGGAACAAAATCTGAATTTTTCTTCTGGAGTGACATTCAAACAAGCTGCTGCATTAAATCCTTCCTGCGAAAGGGGAGAAGCAAAGCTGGCAGTTTCCCATCCCCACCTTTATGCTTCTGTCAACACCTGCCGGCTGAGCTGGCAGAGAAACCTTGGAATTTTCTGCCGTTCTTCTCACCTGTTCCACTTTCATGTTTCTGCAGCCTCTAGGTTGTTTAATTAGCAGACCTCATTTATCCACTCCCCAGAGGCTTTTCAAGAGGTAAGATAAAGCTCTATGTCTAGATAACTATTAACCCTGTACCCACAACTGAGCAACCGGCTTTCTCAAAGCAACGCTCCCAGGGTGAAATGCTGCCCTCTCAGGTCAGCGGGGTGGGGTGAGGGAAGATACTAGATCCAAACAACTGAAGTAGGAAAATAATTGCTACTTATCTTGAGCTTCATGCATCTAAATTAGTATTTAAGTTCACTCCTCTTAAGAGCACCACAAGCTCCAAGAGTGCTTCCAGCTAGATGTAGCAAGACACCTCCATGGGAGGACACAGGCAGTGGAGCAGGCTATCTGGAGGGGTTTTCCAGACCCAGCCAGTGTGACCTGAAGGCTGACTCAGCTCTGATCAGGAGTTGGACCAGAGATCTCCGGGATGTCCCTCCCATCTCAGTTGTCCTCTGATCCTACCCCACGCTCCTTAACAGCACATTCAGTCTCCAGTGTTACAGTCACTAGCTAAAAACATAAGTAAAGCAGCACTAACTGAATATCTGAAAAGACACTGGTTCAGAATTTATCCAGTATTGTAAGTGCTAACTAATTATGGAATTAGAGACACATCTTGTAACTATAATTTAAATACATTTATTTACAATGAAGCAGCCTAAACAGAAAGACTCCAGCATTCAAGATTTCCACATTTTTAACTGACAAAACTATTCAAAAATCCCATGATGGATAATGGCTTATGGACCCTCCCAGGCAGCATGTCATGCATCAACGCACTCTTGCCATTGTAGAACCATACATGTTAAAGTTACATGACTTCTGAGGCAGTCAAATGGGGACCCAGGCACCCAGCAGACACCAAGGCCAAAGCACAGGTTCTGTCCAGGCTCAGTAACATACCTAGCTCTTCCCATTACAGCTGTGTGCATGGTGAATTGCAAATCTAATTTTTTCAGGAGTAGAAGAAACCTGCAATTTTGCCTGAGCTAACCAGTACAAACAATGCAGATCCAAAGGAAGGCATTCTGAAGGAAATCTAGCGTTGCAGATCTCTGAACAGTGAGTTGTGACACAAGTTCTGCCACGCTTCCAAATTACAAAGGCTGTAAGTTTGCAAATAAAACAAAGGAATTATCAAATTAAGAATTGTCTGCTTCTCCCCCTACCCCCATTTATTCCAATTTTAGAGTACACAGCGTTTTTCCAAAGGAAGTTGAGATTCTTTTTTCCATGCTACAGGAAGAAGAATGGAACTGAGTCAGCTAAAAGTCTGCATGATTTGCCAGACTAACACTATTTTAGAAGAAGTTGTCTTTGTATAATCCCATTTTCCAAATCAAGATGTAGACATATACAATAGAATTGAATACATGCCTGGCACCAGCATTCTACCTTACAATCTTGTTCTCCGTATCAGGGCAACACACAGATCTTACTGTACAAATCCTCATTCGTTTTAGGATGGTAGTGGCTGTAAGGGCTACTGAAGCACTCTCTCAGGTAGCTCTCCATCCAGTAAAGACACAGATTTTGACAAGGCCTTCTGTTCAATGCATACACATGTAGCTATGTGCAGGCAGCGAATCCATGATGCAGGGGGGGAAAAATCCAAGTACTGATCCAGTTCTTTTCTCCAGCCACAAGAACCAAAGAACACAAATTTGAAAGAAATAATAAACGGGTAAGATTTTTTTTTTCTCTATCAATTCCTTTCCTCCTGGGTATATTCCACTTGGGGAATTCCCAATCAAATAAAACTTTAGTAGGTTAAATGCAGCATAATCTCTTTCTCACTGAAAAAGATGGCCAACAGCAAAATATAACCTAGAAAAGTTTGAACACGATCAAAAGCTCATATAAAAAAATGCTACAAGTCCTGATGTCTGGCATTACTCTTACACTGATTTTAAATGAAAGAAAGCAAATGTTCACAGAGATTGCTGTTATAATATGTGAATTGGATATAATATTCCAGCAAAACATATCTGTTCCAAATTCACAGTTTTCTGAAGGAGCTGGGGGTTCTCTTGGTAAAAGGACAGTGCACACAAACTTTGCATTCCTTAGGGTTTTCAGAAGAACGTAAGTTTCAAGAAAACTGATTTCTTGAAATGGCAAGTGGTGAAACATGACTACAAGTATCTAAGATGCAGATGTGCATGAGATGTCAACTGCCCCAGAAGGCTGAAAGTTTCAGGATGTGCTGAAAGACATAGTGTGAAATAACTCTAGATAAATCATTGTTTGTTCTATAAGAGAAGAACATACACACACAAAAAAAGAGCAAAAACATGTGGAGAAATCAGTTGTCAGAAAATTCTATGATAGTAGGCACATGGAAGATCATTTAAGGCAAATACATTCCTGATACAGACTCTACTGATGAAATGATATTTACTGATGACCAAAAGAAGAGCAAAGGGACAGAATTCCCCCGTCCTGGAGGCATTCGAGGCCAGGCTGGATGTGGCTCTGGGCAGCCTGGTCTGGTGGTTGGCAACCCTACACATAGCAGGGAGGTTGAAACTGGATGTTCGCTGTGATCTTTTTCAACCCAGGCCGTTCTATGATTCTATGAATTTCTGAAATACTATCGACTTCTGAACATTAACTGAATAAGTGGCTGACATGCCAGAAGGCATGAAACAGTACTATTAATACCTACTGTAGAATGATAGCACTCCCTTAGCAATGGATCTCAGATGGATAAAGGAGCTTCTTCTGCTTAAGAAATGGAGTGAATTCACATGACAAGAATGTGACAACTTGGACAACTTGCAGATAACTCCTGTTTATGCACTTGCTACAGCAGTGATAGTTCCTCTTTATAACTCTGGTCAACTTAATCTACATAACAGAAGAATAACAGGAATTAACAGTGATTATTACATGATAATCAGGGATTTTTCTATTATTCCACCAAATAAAGCACATGAAGTAGAATAATTCTACATCAATGATTCAGATGTTCAGTTTTATTTAAATTCAGATTACAACAGCCAACAGACTAACTGTGAAGACTTTTTAAGGTGAAAAAGGCTAAGAATTCAGACAAATTAAGAAAAACTCATATAGTTAAATTAGCTTTGTTTTGCTTTCCAAAATAGCAAGTCCTGAAGAAATTTGCCCCCAGAAAGAATAATTAATATATGTATTTATCTCAGAAATGTTATCTTTAAGAACACGTGAAGAATTAGTATGGTCCCAGAGATCAAATAGGCAACAGGATGTGTAAGACAAACTGGAGAAAAAAGGCAAGGTTAACCAGTAACTAGTTTTTCACTTAATAGAGTCAGATCAGTGTGATCGTTTTTAAAGCAACTAAACCAGTATTCAGGGCTTGAAAAGGTGCATGTCGGCTGGGAGGCCTGAAAGATATCTGGGGAATGGTGCAAGAAAACATGCTGGGGACAGAGCAGCCTGAAGCACGGGACAATCCCTACACCACAGCAAGAGATGACCCACAACTTCTGCTCCCTCGCTCTTCCACTGCACTTTCAGTCTCAACAGAGGTCGGGTCCCACTGGTGCCCCAAGAGACAGCTAAAAGAAATGGGCACAAGGTTGCTGATGGATTGGCTTGGCTCAAGCAGCCACAAGGCAGAAAAAGAACACACGTATCTGGGAAAGCTCACAGAGACTGAGAAAAAGAATGAGTGTGCCCCAGTCTAACACTAATAAGCATTTTCACTAACAATATGGATAGTGAAGTTGAGGGATAATTATCAAATCTGCAAATGACATCAAATGAAGGGCATCTGCAGGTACAATGAAATAGAACTGAAATTCAAAATTACCTGGGCCTCCTCATCAGGTAATGTGAGCTAAACATAATTCAGGTTCATAAAAATTTTCATGAGGTAAATGATGCTCAAAAAACACCACAAGGTAAAAAAAATAAAAATAAAAAATCAGATAAAAGAACACAAGAGGAGAATAATCTGTCAGCAGTTCTTCAGGAAGGGAACTGAAAGGCTAGCAGATCAAACTTCAGCACGTTCCAATAATGCCATCATATTGCAAAAACGATAGTAGATGGGTCAATTCATAAGCTGTACGGTGTGATTTTCACAGCCTGCTCAGTGCTAGTAAAGCCTCAGCTGTATTGTTATGCCTATCTGTAGACATTACTCATTACTAAAGACATAGACTACCTGGACAGAACCCAAAATACAGATCTGGCAGTAAGCACAAGTTTTAAAGGCTTATATTGTAGAAAGATTAAAAAAAATAAATACAAATGGTAAAATATGCCCTTCAACAAAGTCCGTCTGTAGTCAAATAACTGGATAGTCTGTGGTTCCCACAATGGGTGTGAAGGCCAGAGCAAAGCAATGGGCCTAAGCTGCACCAAAGGACCTTCAGTTAGACATTAAAAAAGTTTTTCCAAATACAGAACAACTGCCAGCTGTCACAGATCAAAAGAGGCTATGGAGATTTTTAACACTAGTTAAGCTCTAGTTTGATATTAGATAAGCTCTGAATTAGAGTAGGTACTACAATTCTTATTGTCCGCCATTCAGTGATCTGATGGATGTATATAGCCCCATGTACATTCCTACTGGCTATTTATTGTAACTTGAAAACTGTTTTTTGGGGTTGTTGTTCTTGGTGGTGGTGGTTTTTTTGTTTGTTGGTCGTTTTTAAACACACTCCAACTTGGTAAAACTCTGTAACACAATAATTCTTTTCAAATCATTGTAGCATTTACTAATGTGACAAAACGTTCTATCTAATTTGTGCTAAGGAATCAAGCAATACCTTAACAATGGATCCTTTGCAAATAACTAGCTACAAGAAAATTCATTAATAATCACTAGTTATTAACATTGTATGCACTGAGCCTATTTAAAAAAAAAAAACAAACAAAACCCTTTGACTAGTGGTTCTAAACAATTATCACCGATTGCCAAAGCAGCTTCGGGAAAGGAACCAACTAGCAAATAATGCTTAATAATAAGAAGCTAATACTTAATAATAGAAAGTTAATACTCAGTTCATACTTGAACTTGCAAGTTCATACTTGTTTATAAAGCTAAACTGAAAACTTACAGAATGGGCTAATTTTGTTTAGCACACTTAAGTAAAACTGTAATACACATCTGTGGCTACACATCCAGTTTAGCCTTTCCAAACTTAGAAGAAAAACAGATCTGTTGTTGAGTCTTGTAGGAATAGACTGCTGACACCATAGGATTCAGCTGAGTGAAATCAAAACATTCTCAAGCCTTTATTCAGCTTCCACATAACTCTGAGGGCATCTTCAAGACTTCAAGATTTAAGATCTACTTATGGACATGCTCACAATCACCTCAGCTTTGGCAGGGCTGACTGATGGGCCTGTCTCATTCTACTGGCAAACAAGGAGAAAAAGAAAACAAAGCAAATCTTCTCCAGATCATAGCCCAGATCACGATCCTGAAAAATTCAATCAAGTAGTTGTATTTTTCTCTAAAATACAATAAAAAGAGATCATAATGATAGTTTCTGCTACTCTTACAGAGATATAGGTCTTTATTATGCAGTTTTCTTTCCAGCCTGAAAGCAATCTGAAGTCATCCTTCTTTTTTCCTAGGAAATATTCTACTCAGCAGGACTTAAAATTTTACCTCAGTTGGCAAAAAAGAACCCAGAGAATAGAGCACAACTTGACAACTTGTGAAAACGAATTGGAAAAGGATAGATTTCAATATTTCCTCAAAGGTAAATGCAATACATGAAAAGAAATTCACAAGCCTGGATTTAGAGAGGATTTGAAGATGGTTTGTAGGCAGCACTTCCTGGAGCTGTCCACAACTAGACACCAAGCCCAGTCTGCATAGGAGTGAAAGAAGGTTCTACTAAGCTTTAATCATTCGTTTTCTTTACTCTGTACGAGAACAGCACAAAATTAGTTGTGATGCCACAGGCACGTGAAGAGTTTAATTCAGGTCAAGGTGCTTCAAGCACCCCAAAAAGACAAAAGACTGAGTTTACCGATAAAAATATATTTTTTTAAGTTTGCAATTTTATTTTCTGGGCTTTGAACTGTATCATTGTCTGATACAATTGTTTGGGTTATCCAAAAGATATACCAAGTAGCATGCTGATAGAGACTGATACAATAGGAATTAGAATGGAACTCAGACTTTACAATCTGCTTGTATTGCATAAACACATGGAAGTCTGCTTTGTTCCTCTCCTTCACCATCTTACTGTGTATACCTGAACACACCTGCTACCTAATGTATTTTTTGCAGTGAACCTTCATATACTTCTAGTGAAAAACAAAATACACATACTTGAGTTATTCTTTTCAGTTTCTACTCTTTTTGTAACTTATGATTTTTATCTTTCTCCATTGTGCACTTGGAAAACAGCTTAAATAAGTTTTCATAACATGGTTGTTGTTTTTTTTTCTTTCCCATTCCAACCAACCACCCCCCCCAAAAATCAAAAGTGGATATAATAGTCAAGAATTAGTACTGCCAGATCAACACTGAGGAATGTTGGGAAAGAAATGGGTGCACAGGATAATTACAGAAGTGGATAAAGGGGGAAAAATTCACTAACCTGGGCAGTGAAACTGCAGCAGATGTTGAGATCTGAAGGGAAATAAATGCAAAGATTAGAAAAGCAAGTAAAGCATGGGGAGCCACTGAAGATTTAGGGTCTCAGAAATAACCTGCTTAATTACATAGGACTTTACAAAACCAGAGCCTTGCTACTCTTTCTGGGGAGACAGAAAAATGGTAGACAAAGTGGATGAGAAATGTAGTAGAACTAAAATCAACAGGTATAATTCTAACTTTCTCAGTTCATCTACAGTATAGAGAAAAATCTGTATGACACAACTATCTGTTGCTACTGAACATCATTTAATAGTTGCTATCCTATCTTTACAAAACAGTTGAACAGTAACCTCTGTGAAATGAAAAATGTAGTAGTCTTCAGGCAAATGAGTGATGGACATCTGAAGAAATCACAGAACCATAGAAATGAGTGGGCTTCTTCAACAGCAGCCAAGGAAAGTAAGTGAACATGGTGATGGAGGGTGATTTTTGTTTCCCCCAGTTTGATAGTAAAAAATCCAGACATGCTGATCAGAAATTGAATACTTTTTATACTTTTTTTTTTTTTTTTTTTTAATTTAAGCAGCAAATGTATGACTTCGTACAAGTGGTTCACAAAACAAGGACAACACTTACCTTACAAGAACTGAATTTCTTCAGGATGTGCTATGTGTATGTACTTTACTGTGGATGTGCATGTATTTTAAATGCTTTAAGTTGGCAGGTGTTTGGTTACTACAGTCCATTCAGTATATGTCATCCTTTTCACCATTCTTTGCACTCAAATGTAAGGACAGCTGTGTTTCTATTTGTCTCCATTATGAAACCCAGAGACACACGACTTTAAGGAGAGGTGCTGGATTAGGACTGTGCACACAAAATGCACCACCTGAAGAGCTTCAGTTATTGCAAGGCATCTAACAACTATCTACCATGACTCCTTGAGCAGATTCACTTTCCACTGCAGAGAACACTACAGAACTGCCACCATAATGCAGAGATGATCACTCTAGCAAGAACAGTAACTGAAACTTGTTTTTCATAAGAGTCTCATCTAGAGATGGCACTTCTGACAGTATTTAGGGAACACAATACCAGTAGGGTGTCCTTGAAGAATTGTGAAAATATCTGAAAGCAGTATTAAGAACAATGGCTTGGGTCCTGTGGACAGTCCTCCAACTACTATAGTGAGTTTCAACCCAACTCTCCTCTAGTTTGTGCAGATGCAGCAGCTGAGCTCTGGTTGGGAGTATTCTGGGTGTTCACCATACCCTTGGTATTATTCCAATATCATTCTTTTTAATGACTTCTTAAAGTTCTGCCTGGGGAAGGTGCCACTTACATATGGAAAATGGCTATCTTTTCAAACGGGCAAAATGGAGAGACTGTTCATTCCTGAATAAACAAGGCCTTTCACAAACAGAATGCATAGAAGCAAAAACAGTTTTTGAAGTACATAGCAAGAATTCTGAACAAGTTTTTAGGAAAACTAAGTACAGAGGATCTCACAAGAGCTTGGCTTTTCGTTTCTGAGTTGATTGCACAAGATGTCTTTTACTGACAAGTGTAGTCCACATATGAGCACTACATTGAATTTGCACAACAGATCCCTTCATGGCAAAGCAAAGCACAGCACTGCTACAGAGCTGAGAAACAGCAAGCCAAAATAGCTGTCTGGTGAAGAGCAGAGCTGAAGGTATCATGCCGATTCATTTGAGAAGGCAGTCCCAGCAAAAAATAGTTGACTCACAGAAACCCAAGGATCTTATCCTACAGAGAGGAAGAATGAAGAGAAACCAAATATGCTTTGCAACAAAAGCCTGCATCATCTCTGAACCACGTCAGCAAGTCCTCCTGTTGATTATGTTGTGTTTTTGAGGTGAAAAAAAAAACAAACAACACCTTATTGCAGAAGAACAAGAACAAAGTGGATGTTCCAGCAAAACTTAGTACGTACAGACCAGACATCACTATCTTTGTACAAGGACATTATACATGTCCATAACAATTAGATCCAGTAACTTCAACGTAACAAACAGAGATAATCTGGAGGCAGACTAGGCCACAAAGAGAAGATAACTGAGACTATTGGAGCCATGTGAATTTGTGATGAAGCCTAGAAGGTGAATAAGTTTGTTTATATGCATAAACAAGTACTTCACAGAGATTTCAACTATTTCCATGACCTCTCCAGAATAAAAAACCTGGTCTTCATCACTATGGTGTAAATTTTGAACTCATATTAGCTTCCTCTGAAAAGCAGATTGCCTAAATTATTATTTTTTTTTTTAATGTTTTCTGTTATATCCATAGCTTTAAAGCTTCCATACACTGCAGAAATACTATGGCCTTTCTCTCTGACTATAGTCAGATCATAGAAAATATGATTGCAGTAGGCCCAGAGATTGTCTAAGAGAACAGATTCTTGGAAGATAAAGGCAGTTTATGTTTTGGGGTTACTGCCAGTGAGTTTCTTCTCCCAGTGAACTGCTCACTAGCACCATTGCCCTGCATGTCAGGAGGAGTTCCTTCGCAGAGGCTTTCCAAGGTCTTCCTGAACTTCGAGAAAACTGAAACAAATCCAGAAAAAAATACCTGTCCATTGAACAGGCCAATTCTCAGCAATTCACTGCACTGGAAGTATAGCCTGGCATGTGGCAAAACAGGCATGTGGCAAAAGGTACATTTTTGATGTTGCGTTTTGATCTGCAAGCCTGAACACAACCTAGAACTCAGTGAGATAACTATATACTTGCAAATGTGGAAACTCAAGTGCCCACTATTAGTCTTCACTGCATCAAGGGAAAACGTGCGAATACCAAGGGTTTAAAAATCCCACCAAGCTCCTCAATCAGGCCTCTAAATACTTCATCACTAATTATTTTTTGTTAAGAAGATCCCAAATTATCCACGTACCTCAAAGACCTAGGTTATAATCCTTGAAGCCATCAATAAATGACAAGGATCCTGTTCTGCCAATGTACTGACTACATTCTAAGGAACATGTGGAAGCGTAATGGAAACGTGGAATCCTGAAAGTTAAGACAGAAGAGCCAATCTCTTCGCTACAGGCTGCAGATGAACAGGTCTCCCCAAACTTTCTGAGAAGGGAACAATTTCTTATTTCCCAGGAAACTTCCTACTGTAAATGGTGTCACTGGAAGGACAGCTGAAAGACCACAGGGAAGTAATGCCCTGAAAATAAGTGACATCCAGATGAAAGAGAGGCCAAAGTGACTATGCATCCTGGCTGGGTAATGCTCACTGAAGTCCTCAAAATGGGCTAAGCAGTCTCCATAAGACAACATGGCAAGTCACAGTCTGTCACAGCTGTTTTGAACTGAGCAGAGCAGCAGATTCAAGAATGCAGTCTTTCAAGAATGTCTATCGTCACTGGCACTTTTTCCCAGCCATTCCTGAGGTCTATAAAAAGAAAAGGCTGAATTGACTCTCTTTGTGCAACGTATGCATCAATCTCCTCTGTTGTTTTTGTTTGAAATGCAGTATTCCTTGTTTTCATATAAAAAAAAGTATAGTAACGGGAAACATGCGCTACAGTATGTATTTATTTCATGATGAAAAACAGGGTCTCTGTTTTTACAGTGATTACAGCCATACAAATTGTTCACTAGTGGCTGCCAGGCCTATTTAGACACTACCCCTTCACTCCATTGTTGCATGGTTTCCCCACAAATCTGAAAAGCAGTTTATCAGCAGAGAAAGTGAATGTCATCTTCCAGTAACATGGGGTGCTGGCAGAACACAAGTCTGTACCTAACAACAGCGCTGCGGCTGCAGTTTCTTTTTTTCAGAACACCTTTCAGCTGGCCAGCTGCTTTGAAGCCTCACATTTTTATTTTGTGGTGGGTTTTCTTTTCCAATACAGTTGATGAAAATCTGAGAGCAGAATCCAAATTGCTGCTTTGTTTCTCAGTGGCAGTTTCTAGAAACTGAAGCAATACCTACCTAAGTTCTAGGAACCAGGTCTGCACTCTCGTTTGCATGTTCTTTGAAGGTTAGCTGAACCAATTCCTGGTATGTACAAATTCATAAAAGAAAAAAAATCTGCAGTATCTATCTACTGAAGGGAATCAATCCAGTATTTAAATCTGCCTCTCAAAACAGATTCTCCTAGGGAATATGTTGGAAAAAAACAGCCAGGTACACATATTTTAGTTCTTAAACATAAAGCACACAGATACATGCATTCCACATAGCTGCTGCTAACCAGAAGTCTTTACATATGCAAGTATGTACCCACCACGGAATACAAATGTGGATAAGCATCAAAATATAAAGTCAGATTTACAACCTTGAATTAAGAAACAGGAAACAAAGCAGGGTGAGAAATACTGAGAGCTCTGTTTCCTGAGCTATTCTGAAATATTATGAGTACAGACAGTGTTACAGTAGCATTCACATTCAGAATGCAGTTCTGCATCCAACCATATAATCATATTTAACCCATCAGCCTAATTTTCAGACAGACTTGGCCATTCTTTAGGAGTACACATTTCCTTTATTAATAAAAGGTCTGGGACTTCAAAAGGTAATTCAATCAATATGCATTTTTATTGTTGCCTACAATCCTTTCTTTGCTTTGTTGCTTTATCTTTGTTGTTGTTGTTGTACAACAAGTAATAAACTTGCACTACTTTCTTGAATTATTTAATTATTCAATTTATTTTTTCATTCTACATTTGAAACTCAGGGCTGAAGGCATTGAAAAAAGGCGACCTACCATTACCAACAAGAGGCACTCAATAAAAGTAACTGCTACACAGAACTACGTTTTGTTTTGAAATGGAGGTGATGGGGATACTGTGGACATCTCAAGACAAATTACTGCGAGACTGAAACATTGCACAGAAAGAGTTAAGATGGTATTCTCAGTGCTATCAGTGTTCCTCACACTGGCTGACTTATTGCTGTCAAAACACAACACAGTATTCAGCCACATTTTTTGTAAACGTGTCACAACTGATACATAAGTAAATTCATACTGAATTGAACCTACCTTATAAGAGATTATAAACAGCACCCATTAAGTAGCATTTCTTTCCACTCTGCTGAACAATGTACAAAAAGCAAGAGCATTGCTTTTAAACTACCTACCATATTATATTGAACTTTAAAAAGAGTCAATCCAACAAGCTCCTCAGTATCAACAGTGTACGACAAGGAGATACTTTTCAAAAAACCTGAGAGAACAGCACTGAAATACATTATATTAGCCTAGGATTCCTGAAAAACAAAAATCTTTTATTTCTTAGGAGAACAAGCGTGGTACAAGGAGTGGCAGAGCAACTAGGTGCGTTTTCTTTCAGTTATACTTAATACTCAGATGTACAGAATCATTTCCTTGAACGAGATAGTTTGCATTAAAATAACTTGGAAAGAAGCTTTTACATTAATCTGAGAGATTTCTATTGTGGACACAATTTAAAACGGAATGGGCTAAACTAGAATTGCGCTGAATAACTGCTGAATTACTGTTAAGAATGAATTTAAAACTGAGAAGCATCATAGCCGTGTGGTTTAGTAATCCCATGAACTATCAACTTCCTAATCAACAATCCTAATCAACAACTATAAGAATTCTCCCAGCCCAATTCCTTTAATTATATGGAATAGGACATCCACTAACAGAATCTGGCACAAATAAGCTGAATTTTTAAAAGCTCTCATTTTTTTCCACTCCTGAAAAGGCCAAAAGCCAACATGCTGCCTGTTTCAAAATTCAGCAGATGGCTGTCAGTCAGGTACTGGTAAATCCATACCAGCTAGCACAATATAGAACTTGCTCATTTGCTCAGTTTTAGTTAGAGCCTAGCTCTTGGGCAAGTTCTTTTCCCTGGTTTTAACAGACATTTACTCTACCAAGCAAATACAGAGAAGCTAATTAAAATTATGAAAACCTGTCTATTTCTCTTATTCCAAAACCTGAAATAAACTTGCATTTGTTTTTTCACTACAAGCCTCACAACTTGCATCCTCCATCCCAGTGTGCTTCAGGAAACACAGAAAAAGCAGACATCAGGTTTGGCCTCAGCAGCAATCAAAAAACTTGTCTGTGAAGATCAAGCTCTCTGTAGTGCCAAGGCAGCAGACAGCAGCCAAGAAGTGCCTACAGCACACCAAGTCTGCTAAATCCAGGTCCCATGGCTCAGCTGGTGGCACAATTGGCAGGGACCGTGCCTGCTTTGCCATGTGGTCAAGGGCTCCATCACATTGACAGAAGTGCTGCTCAGGGAAGGAAAAATGAGACTTGACACGTATGGAAACCAGGGCTTAAGGGCACTGAGGCAGGAGGAGGGAAGAAACAGGCCAGGCATCCCAGACAAGCTGTATTAATGGAAGCCTGGGAGAACTACCAGATGCAGAAACTGGCTCAAGAAGTTCCAGTTGGTGTTTTGAGATTCACAGAAATGAAGCTGAAATTCTGATAGGAAGCACACAGGTAGAGAAGATGGCTAGGCATAGCTTTCAAGTCAGGAAAAAAGGAGACCCTGTTGCTACTTTTACACAACTTCACCTCTGAATCTTTCCCAGAGCACCACATGTAGATTTGTCTTCCTAAGGCACTTGCAACTAGCTGCCTAGCAGGCTGGATTTTGCTGGCCACTCTCAATAGCAAAAAGTTTTATCATATTAAGTTGTTGGTTGTTCAAATGGCAAATCCTTTTTCCACTATTGCATAAAATTTAAAAATACACAGTAAACAATGTGACAATAGTAATTTTCATTTCCTAAAGTTGAATAAAGTAAGCGGTGATTCTGTAGATGGACTAACCAAAAGTTACTTTTTCTTAGCCTTCAACTTATCTGGTGCACTTGGAAGTCTATAAAATACATTTTTATCAAAAGTGTACAAAATAGGCTTAAAAACCAATCCATAAATATCTAATGGATTTAAAGCTTTTGTGTTGAAAGGCAGAATTCATGCTGTTCCCTCACAGGGACATTTTCCAGTACTCACATTCAGATTTTCAAAATACAGATCCACAGAGACTGAGGTTTCAGGGAGTTCTCCAGGAATACAGCAACAGTCAGCAGGTCAGGCTGATGGTTGGACTTTATGATCTTGAAGGTGCTTTCCAACCCAGATAATTCCACAGTTCTATACATCATTGCTCGTCAGCAAATACTTCACTTAATCATACTTTCATAAAAATAAATTCCTCTTTCAAGAGTCCAGTTTAAAAAAAAATACCTTTTGAAATTGAGTCATAGGTAAAAGTATATGCTTGGTTCTAACAGCTGACCTAAATTCTTGAGTGAGTTCATGTAGAGTTACAGAAATGATGTTTTAGCAGTGAGAACACTCCCATTCTTTAAATCTCAAGCAGCATGTTTACTGACAACTATATCACCACGTTTACCACATCAGCGATTTCAACTTCTTAATTCTGTCACAAACATTACATTAAAAACAGCCTCCATCAAATTGTTTCATACACTGGAGCTAAATTTTGCAACCAGAATTTCTGCCAATCTGATACGGGGGAAAAATAATAACCAACACTTCTACTTGTACGGTCTTGTTTTTCAATTCTCTAGAAACACGAACAGCTGTATCTAATACCTACTAGCATTCTTGACTGCATTAGGCAAAGTACTGCCAGGAGGCCAAGAGAAGTGATCCTTTCCCTCCAGAGAGGCTGCACCTGGAGCACTGTGTCCATTTCTGGACTCTCCATTAGAAGAGAGATCTGGACATAACGGAGACAGTCCAGTGGAGGGCTGGCAGGATGCTGAAAGGACTGGAGGACTTCTCCTACGATGACAGGCTGAGAGAGCTGGGTCTGCTCAGCCTGGAAGGGGCTCAGAGGGACCTCATCAACATCTATAAATACCTGAAGGGAGGATGCGAAGCGGACAAAACCGGGCTCTTTTCAGTGATGCCCAATGTCAGGACAAAGGGCCATGCACACTAGCTAGAGCATAGGAGCTTCTGTCTGAACACCAGGAAGAACTTCTGTGCTGGTGACAGGGCACTGGCCCAGGCTGCCTGGAGAGGCTGTGGAGTCTCCTCCTTAGAGATCTTCAAAGGCCACCTGGATGTGGGCCTGGGCACCCTGCTGTGGATGTCACTGCTTGAGCAGAGGTTGGACCAGATGGACCCTTCACACCTCAGCCATGCTGTAATTCTGTAATGCTTGCTTTACAACACATCCCTTTGAGCATTTTAAATCAGAACATTTCTATACAGAATTGACAAAAAAATACAAGTTGTCACAACAGACAAGTCATCTATAGGAATTAAACTATTTCAAAGAACTATTCATTGTTTTATTGAATAAGATCTACATATCATTAAAAACTAAGTCAAACTACTACCCATAAATAAAAGTCAGTTTATACCTTTTCAAATGTCTTTTTTTAACAGTTAAACATTTTTAAACCTTTCTATAGAAGTCAAAATTGAGAACAAGGAACTAAAAATTTAAATGGCTTCCACTACTAGTTTTGATTAGAGCCCTGGAATCTCTTTTTCACAGACAGCACCAGAATTAATTTCATGTTTCTCCCTGGTTTTGTTTCAGCTGGGTGGAATTATATTCTTCAGAGTATCTGGTATGATATTATGGCTTTGTTGTAGGAGAGAAATACTGTTGATAACACAGCAATGTTTATATAGCTGCCACTAAGCAGTGTTACACAGAGCCAAGGCCATTTACAGTGAAGGTCCCAAGGAGCTGGGAGCAAAGAGAATAAGGACAGCTGACTTAAACTTGCCAAAGAGATATTCCATAGCACATGCAGAAGGAGTTTTAAAGGGGATGGAAGTTCATTGCTCTCTTCCGCTGTTTGAGGGACTAGCTGGGCACTGCTTGGTGGGTAGTGAGCAACTGCTTATGCATCACTTCCTACATACATTCATATATATACAGACATAACTATTATGCTTTTCATTTTCACTTAGTAAATAATTTTACCTCATACTCTGAGTTCTACTTTTTATTTTTTTTCCCAATTCCCTCCCCCATCACACTGGGAATGTGGGCAGTAAGCAAAACAGAACATGCCCCAAAACTACTTTGACTTAAATACTGCTTCCTATGAAGGATTGCTTTCTTAGTCCATTATACAAAATGGAATGACTGCGCACATCATATGAAGAAAAAAAAAAAGTGCACTTACCAAGTGAACATAAGGCACAAAGTATCCAAAAAGTGCAGCAGGAATCCCCAAAGCCCAGATTCGATAACTCATGACTTTGAAAACGGAGAAATTGAAAACCTTTTTTTCAGGAGGAAATCTGAACTTGCCCTTCTTTTCTCCTTCGTCTTTGGTGTTGGAAACAAGAGGTTTGTACGTAAAGCCAGCCAGAAACAGAATAAACATGAGGATGCACAGGACCCGTAATGTGTTGAACAGGCCAACAGAATCAATCAGAACTCTCAAGAGGAAGGGCAGAGACACAGTGAACAAGCTGCTTCCTGCAGTCACGATGCCATTTACCAGTCCAAGGCGTTTCTTGAAATAGTGCCCAAGAATGACCAAAGATGGCTGGTAAGCAAATGAGCAGCCACAGGCAAATAATATTCCATAGGTGAAGTACAGAGGTTCAATGGTGCTGTATTAAAAATAAAAAATAGGAAAAAAAATTGTAAAACAATGCATGCTCACATTCAGATACCACACAGAAGTGTTTTTCCAATTAATTGACATATTTTCAGAAATGAGTTAAGAGTTTGTATGTGGTTGCTCCAAAAGTAGTGTGTCCTGTTTGGAATTTCCATGGAAACTACAAGTGCAAAGAGATAACAACACTGTTTGATAGAGCAAATTCTCAGCTACAAAACACTCTTTGTCAACATAGTCACGACCATTAGCCAATTTATATGGATGAGCTGATTGAGACTCTTCATTTTGTGGTGTGATGGCTGTGCATGGCTGTCTGGAACGTGGCTTGTCCTTCACATTGCTCTCGCCACGGCTGAAATGCTTCACCCACAGCCTCACTGTGCTCAATCCACTGTTTGGTCTCCATCAACATTCAGCAAACATTGATGAATGTCAACGGGTGCCATTTTTTCCATGTGGATGAATTCAGTGACACATCTTTATTTCATACACACTTCTTCTATGTCGGACACCATATTATCAGACTGCCCTTCTGCTGCCATCACACGATAAAAAAATGTAATAGAATATTGGTGGGAAGGTTCAATTTTACTGCCACAACCCAAACATCCACCTCTGATGTTGTGGACCAATATAATAAAATAGGAGGCATTACTTTCAGAGCAGCCCTCATGCTACCAGTGTAAATGCTTTCTGTAGTGGTTTTCAGCATAGGATGCCATCTGCCAATATTCCTCTACACCAGAGTATGACAATGCACTCTGCAAGTTTCCCATGCTATTTTAGAAATTCTTAGAACATAGTATTTGATTCACAGGTCTCACACCAGGAACTGAGAATTTACATGTTACCGTGCAAAAGAATGCATTTGCAATATTACTGTTTCTTTCTGCATTAAACTATCAATTTAAAAAATTGATTATATTTAAATTAGCCAAAAGAAACAACTAATTACTTCAGTCAATGGAAAAATATCAAAGAAACTAAAATCAGAATGTATGAGAGAAAGAACATAATGCAGTAAGGACACAGAACTTTTTCTTCCTTCTGTGGATCCAAACACTTTGCAGTATGACACATATTGAAAAATATTTCTCCTGCATTACAAATAATCTTACGTCTCAGCTTCCTAAGAGATAAAACTTGTATTACATATGGGAACAAGCAGTAAATCATATTTACATTCATCTGCTGTATGAAATATTACTGTTAAAACACTTCTATATCTGAACTATACTCCCTCAATTAACTGATAATATCAACATAAGTCATTTGATAGTGTGAGTAACATAATGAAATACTAAGAATGCACATTAACTTGGAATGTATTTTAACAAGAATTCATCTCTCATCCCAAGCTCACGACTGCTCCTCTAAAACAAAATTCTAAAAAAGCTACATCTTTAAAGCCTGTAAAAATTTTTGTTTGCACCTTCTGTGGTGTTTTTCCAGTGGAAATCAAAGAAATACGGAAGGATGGCAGCATTTTCTTCAAAAGAAAGAAATACCTTTCCTTTTAATTTACAATAATGAAGTTCTTGTAGTATTTAGCAGTTACCACAAGACTGTGCTACATGGGGATGAAGAAGAACTTTTTCCAATATGTATTCTTTTAGTTTTCACCTCAAATGTGATGGCAATCCTCTGGAAACATACCAGGCAGAAGGTTTTGTTTTGTTTGCTTTAAATAAAATGTATTAATCTAAATCTTTACACTTAGATTAACTAAAAACAAAAATATATTTAAAAAAATGGAAACTTGTTTACGTAACAAGACAGTTTCCTTTTCCCATGAATATTATTTATTCCCAGAATAAATAAAAACACTAGCCTCAGCACCTAAATCAAGGCTATTTTCCTATAAACTTGTTACATGTTTTCACATCAGGGGACATACACCCGAAGTAGGGGTGTTAGTTCAAGATAGCACCATGCAGCACTGATATCCATCCATGCAGATAACAGACAGCTCACACATGTCTGGTTCAGAGCACAGGCACAGAAAACAACTTTCACAAGCCTGTTGACATTGATAGAAAGTGTAGAAATAGAAATTGGTATTTCTACATAGAAAACTCTTCTGAATTCTGCTCTATGCTCTGCTAAGGATAGAAAAGGCAGACTGAGAACTAGAAATAAATGGAGCTTATTTTCCTGCTATTTCTTACCCTATCTTTACTAACTGGTTTCTGCAGATGACTAAAATCAGAGAGTAAGTTTACTGTTTCCTCATCTTCTATTGTGCATGCCACTCAAACTTCTTGGGATTTGTTCTGCAAAAAGTATAGAAAATGAAGTATAACCTGGAGGGAAGACAAACACTCCACTACTGTTGAAGTATATTCAATAGAGACTTCCTCACAGTAAGCCCTAAGGATCCATCATTACACCAATGTTTTTGCTATCTTAACATTTGGCAGCTAGACTGGTAAGAACAGAAGGAAACTTTGAATTTGACTGGAACACCAACACCTCCCTGGAGGTTACCTCATCGTTTTGCTACTGATAAGCTTATACAAACTGGCTCCTCATAAATAGGATGTGCTGTTATGAGGTTACATTACATCTTACAAATAATTTTTGAATTTGAAAGCACCGCTTTTGATTATTCATGGTAGTCATGGCTAGAAAAACAGCAATAGAACAATGTCTTCAGCTATAAGATAAAGTAACATTACTTATTCCTTCGTATTCAGTTAAGATAAAGTAACATTACTTATTCCTTCGTATTCAGTTGATGGGAGGATCAGCATAAAACTGATAGAAGTACTTCGAATGTAATTTAAAAAGATTGTTTTTACCTTACAAAAGAACTTGACAGGAGTCCAACAAAACCTAATGCAGCTCCAGTAACAGCAACTTTTCGGCAACCGAACAGGTCTGTGAATATGCTGACTATTGGAGAGCAGAAGAAGACCATTCCCATAGACAGTGAGCTCACCCATGCTGCAGAACAGAAAAAGACAGCACATTTTAGAAGATTGCACGATTTAAGCTTTCAGCAACTACCTGTTCTAATTGAGCACCACATCATGCCTATGGCTATGTGTTTAAATATCTTTACCTAACACAGTACAAATGAAAGCCCTGACCAATTCACATGATCAAGTAATTTAGATTTCATCAGCTCCAAGAATACAACTGACTTTAGTCGTAAAAAAATAAATAAATGAAATATTTTTAAACACATTTACTCCACCAGGGACTAAGCTAGAATTCACACTAATGACCAGGCCATTAACGACAACTTGTAGATACAGATAATTCCACATTCTTTCTGAAATTTATGAGCACATTTCACTTGATATACTTTTATACTTTTTTTCAACCTTAAACGGCTAAGTTTGCTGAAAAGTTTAACAAATGTTTTATTTAATTGCACAGATCTAGATCAAGCTGGAGCTTTATAAACATTGCTTAACCTATAGTTCTTTGTTTATCAGTGAGTCTTTAGATAATTAAGACTTAATTCAGGTAAGTATACTAAAGTTAAACACTTCTGTGGCTGAATAACAAACTACAGTATCTTCAAGTACATTAGGTGTAAGACTGATTAATTTTAAATTAAAAATCAACTTTCTTTTTCACTTTGTGCAGATATTCAAAAGGCATCATTTACCAGCTATCATGTAGTCATTCTTTCAAACACACATTAGTGATGTATCAACCAAGAGTTCTCCCAGGTCATAAAGGTAAGATATTTAGAGACATAAATAAGTCTGTTATATCTCTTCAGGAAAAAAAAATTGGCCTACTGGCTAATGAAAAAAAGCTGCTGAGGCAAGACACATAAAAAGATATTGTAACTTGTTTCTGAATTGTATGGAAGATAAAAGAGCTCTTTCCATCTGGAATAGGTTTGAATTCCTGTAACTGGGATTTTACTTAGATTATCTTTGCTAGTGACAGTTAGATAAACAATGGTGATTTGGTGACAAAGGCAAATAACATTATCTGAAAAAATAAAACGCAACCAACAGACCTAAGGAGGAATATTTGGAAGCGGATACACCGATATCATGCTTTAGAAGCAGTTGCTGAAGTGCCTATAAGACATGGTCTGGGCACTGCGAAGACCCCACGTGCTAGGCACTGAAATAAACAGAGTGAAACAAACAAGCAAACAAAAGTACTGTTTCTTCAAAAGCATTTAGAACGTAAACGAAAGAAAAAGAACAGCTGGTTAGAGACAAACAGGAATGAGAATATATGACATAGAACCTTCCTTTTAGGAAAAACAGTGATTTCGATGAACTGCGACCTGTTTTGAACAGTTTGTTGTTTATTGAGAATGTGAAAAACACCACGGAGTTTCAAGGAACGATCTGTAGAAGAACGAGGTACTTTTCATGGGTAGCTGCTGCATTTGCTGATTAGCCCAGACTCCAAAGCCCTGTCAACCCTGCACTCTGTGACATTAAGTTTCAGGGCTGTGCAAAGGAAGAGCGGGCAACACTGAGTGAAACAAGGCCCCCAAGACACTGAAAGGAAAGGACACTGGAAGAGTTTAACTTGTATAAGGGCACGGACCACATTGCTTCATAGCCCCGTGTAAGAGCGCAGCAGTTCTAATTTCCAATCAGCACAGGCTGTGTGATTCATGCAGCATTCTCCTTGGTTTAAGCAAATAGTTTGCAGGACTTTTACAGGCCTTCAAAGATAATAAAACTGGAATATAAAAGCCTTAGGTGAAAACATTCAGCTCCAATGACATTCAGTTAACTTGCTGACTTCGATTTTCGTGTGTCCTAATGAAAGAAATATGCCTCTTATCACTTGTTTCTTTTCTTATTACAGCAATGACAAGCTAAGCCTAAAATAGGAGAAAGGTTCCACAGATCTCCCACATAATGTGGGGTCAAAAAGGAAGGGAACAGCCTTATCTGGGGCATTTCACAAACAGTGCTGTGACAGAAGTCCAGAAGTGGCAGTCCACGCTCTACCACTTCCCTACCTAAAGCAAACTGGAGCACTTTAACTTACAGCTCCTGTGAGATTCTTGGATCCCACAGAAAAGGAACTTGCACAGATTCTTTTGGCATGCCTGGTATAAACACCCTTATTATGACTTAACAAAAAGAATGGTCTTTAAGTTAACTTCACACGTGTGCATAATTCAAGGAAATTTGTCTTTATCCTTTGTGAAGAAGCTGAGCACACACACAAAAAAGAAAGCAGAACAGCACATGTGAACCTGATTTCCTGAAGGCAAGCATGCCTTGCTGCAGTAACGTGATCCTACGAAGAAGTTGATGGATATAAAATACATAAAATATAAAATACAATCAGAGTGCTTTTCAATTCTTTGTTCTAAAAAGCTTCTCTTATATTTCTTTCACTTCTTCCTCTCTGTATGCAGAAGGAAAAATTAATTGCATTTGGCATTTTAAAATGCAAATTATAACGACTGTACCAAACAACTCATATGAAAAATCCAAATGCAGCTTGCCAGGATTGCACAAGTCCTCTAGAGCACCTATTACACATTGATTAAAACACTTTTCTTCCAGGCCACTGGCTGCTTTCCTACTCACATGCTGGCTATATTCCAGAGCTGTTATTTCAGACACTAATATAACAACTAACCTCTGTATTTGTGTTGATACTCATACACAAAACATTTTGGCTGCCATAGAAAAAGAGCTATTCCTACTGAAAGCAATTAAACTTTCCTTGGGCACTGGAGCTTCAGGACTTACTTCTCAAAACACGTCATTGCAAAACAGCCAGTTTCTGAGCTTCTCTAGAAGTTACTCCTCAAATTAAAAATATCAGACCAGAGAGTCTGTGGGAGCACCCATACAGAAGAGTTCCTGAGCCACTGAAACACAGTATGCTATTCAAAAAAAAAGCAACATTTACTGTAACTAAAATCGTGCTGAAATAAGAATCTCCGCTATGTCCTTTTCTTATCAGTTCACTACAAATGGAAATAATGCAGCTGTAAGCAGAGAATGTTTGTACACTGTTTCTCTGTCCAAGAGTCTGCAGCTATAAAACCACAGCACACACTCCACAAATATGCTGCTGTTTTATTGCTTTAAAAAATGATTATGATTTAAATAGCACGACTTTCGTCTTCAGCAATAAATGTAAGTAGCCATTATCTGTCAGCAAAAATTGTCCCCATTGTCACAGCTGGATTGCATAATATACATTTATACCCCAAGCTGTCAAATGCTTTAGTTCATTCTGCAGACAGAAACACTAGGACTTACAAGACAATGGAAAAGAAAGCATTTTAGCATTTCACACTGAAATGCTTCTACGGTACACAAATTTAAAGGCTACCCCTCTATAGCATTCCTGTTTACTTCTTTTTTCTTTTTTCTTTTTTTTTTTCTTCTGAGCATTACACTGAAAGTTATCAGTTTTATCCTCACCAAAGCCTTTCAAGTGGCTGGCTTAATACAGCACTAACACCCTTCATTCTCTGATGAACTTAAAGATTTTTTTTTTTTTAAAGTATCCTCCCCTGGGAATTTTTGAGGCAGGAACAAAAAGCCATTGTTTGGAAGACAGAAGGCAAACCAAGAGAATATTTAAGTTGAGGAGTCAATATCAACTCCAAAAATATTTTGTCTGCCCACATTAAAAATCAGATGTGTTTGTGTAGCTCACGTAGCAAATCAAGATAGAAGTCGGGCTCACTGAATAGCTTGCAGAACAATGTGTTTGGAATTGCCCATGCTAAGACAAAGCAGAGATCTTGATAAACAAGAGTAACTTGTCTACACCGAATGCCACAGCAGATTCTCTTAACATAATTCTATAGCTAGGCTGGTGAAATTTGCAGGACAGATGGGCCAGCCATTGCCTACACCTCTGCTCACTATCAGACCTCCTTCCTAAAAATCCATTCTCTCACCCCCTTGTGCAACCAGTACAACACTTCAGGCTGTACTGCACTAGAGCTTGCAATGCCTAGAGTGATGCTGGATAATAAAGCGCTGTGTTTTAACTCATGAAGAACAGAAAGTGCAGAATCAGGGACAACCTGCTTTAGTTAGCCTCTATGTTTATGAAATGAAAACAATACTTCTCTCATACTAACAAAAATATGTGAAATTATTGTTTCAAGTAATCTAGAGAGCAGATTTCTAAGACAAAATACTTTGAAGCGTTCAAATGAAATAAGCAATATGGGACAAGTGATGTGGACAGCAGATGTTTAATAGTTTTCATTGTTACCGAAAATGCTTATGTGGAAAAGTCTACTATAATAAAATTACAATACAGAGTTAATACAACTGCTTAAATAATGGCACTTAGTAATTTCTGAATGCGTGACTTTAACATTATCTAGGAGTTCTCCTTTTGTACAGCAAAAAACACTGCAAGAAAAGAGAAGGACAACATTTACTAGATAAAAACTTCATGCTTTCATTTGGTTATTAGTTATGACTTATGCAAGAACAGTGCAGAATGTAGGTACTCTCCCAGCCTCAAACCAGTAACAGCTGTGGAGATTTCCTGAATCATAATTTTTGTTTTAAAAGAAGTTAACCTCTATCTTTTTCAGTATATCCTGGTCACTCTCATTTCTTTCCCTCCCAGAACAATTCCATATTCTCAGCACCCATAACACCTTACAGCAAACTGCTCTGTAATTCCACTCTGGGCTGTATGATCTCCAGTTCTACTGTCCAGTTACCTACAAAGGCAATACCATTCAGCAAAGCGTACAAATGGCTTCCACAAGATTGTTTTTTTACTTTAGAAAGGAAATTTGGGAAACCTGGGTGCCTGTTCAAAGTAATTTCTGGAGATGATTAGCTCTCCAGCTCTTATTCATGATTCCTTGCCTGTATCATCACATTTACACAGCATTTCTTTTAAGAACAAAAGAACTGCAGTACTGTGTAGACCAGCATCCTGTTCTGGCCATCACAAAACACTGAGCCAAAGAACACCTGAAAGAGGGCTAGCATTCTGCAGGACCCTGC